TCAGCTGCTCCCTCAGCAAAGCACTCCTCACTCCTACGGCTCCTTCATGCTGTTACCACATACCAGTATATCGCAAATAAATTTTTCAGGCAAGCTGCCACATCAAATTCCTTCTGTTGTGGGTGGTCCTTGAGAACAGTAGGGCCCTGTCTGTATTGCCAGTCTTGATAACAGACTGTTTACAACATTAGGATTCAATGGTTTTGATTTTTTTTTCTCCTGCAGTAAATTGCTTGTCTAGACAGATTTGCAGCTCCAATCTTTTTAAAAAGTAAGACTTTGACTCAATTACTGATGTAATCCACTGATTGGGTGCACCATATTGTTAAAAGCAATCTTGCACTGCACAGTTCCCATTTGCCTTAATCTAGCAGTCTTGCAGACAAACTGCATTTTTTCCTGGAAGAGTGTCTCCTTTGCCTGGACACGGGACTAAGTTCAAAAACTGAAGTTTGCCTAAGTCAAAGATTTGGTGTTTGCATTTCATGACTGTAAATTGGTTTAGCTCAGAATCTGTTTATTCAGTAAGCAGTAATTTTTAAAAAAGTAAAGAGTCATATTAAAAAAAACCAAAAACCCTACATCTCCATCCTGGCCTACCTGTTCCAAGCTGTTAGCAAGTGCTCATACTGATACACCTAACAGTGGCCTGAAGTTCAGATCTTATATTCTGTGAACCGGGGCCCTTTATTGAATCCCAGACTGTTTCAAGGCCAGAGTTTCAAGGTAGTCCCAATAACTATCCCTTTACTGTCACACGTGCGTTGACCACGCACCCGCTCGTCCGCAGAGCAGCAAAGCAACAGAACCTAATCCAAGCGAGTGTTTGAAAAGACAAAAAAAATGAGATGTTAAAATGTGTTGCTCTGTGTATTATGCTGTACGTAAGAGCACTCGGGGCAGCCCGCTTTGAGGTCCCATTTACTTCTTTCCACAGACACGACACCCGCTTCAGTACTTTTCTTTCGATCGCCCTTCTGCTCGCTGATCCTTCTGAAAAACGGGGGGGCCGTTTGCTTCCCTGAAGCCTTTCAGGTGAACCACCCCCCCCCCCGCC